AAAAAAAAAAAAAAATACTAATGATACAGCAATCGCTAGCTTTCTTATGTCATGTGTTTAATACAAGTATAACATATATTTTATTTTATTAAAAATGGACATGTAAGGCAATCAGAGCTAGCATATATAACGTATAAGGAAATTATTTTATTATCACATCATTTATTTATATTAATTTATCATTTATTGAGTTGACTTTTAACAAACTCATTTATTTATTTTGTGCTGCATGATGAATATGTACAAAGAATTAACTAATTAATTGATTCATGTTTTAAATAATTATGAATAATACTAAATGTACAAATTCTGTTTATAACCTCATATTTTAAGTAAATTTATTATAAAATTTTAATGATTAATTTAATTAATATTTAGATTTATTGATTAGCTTTCATATTTTAATAAATAAATACCACTAATTTTAATATATACTACGTATAATGATTAATAAATAATAAATAGGAAAATATTTGTAAAATTTAATAAATACTTTAGAAATAAAGGTTTGAATTGTAATTAGCTCTCATTTTCCAAATTGAGCATTATTATTCGGGAATAATAAAATTATAGCGAATGATATAAATATTTAATTATTTATAATAAAACAAAATAGTTTGAGTATTGAAAAATGGTTTGAGTTATTATTTAGATGTTCAATAGGCTCCAAAAAGCACACACTTAATACTAAAAAATCCCACATGTATCGATATAAATAAAATATTTAAAAAGCAATTTAATTTAATTTCAAATATTAAAAAGATTTAATTAGCCTTGTAAGTGAAATATAATCTTACTTTCAGACTTTCAGTGCTATATAGTATATAGTATGGGTGGGTATCCTTGTAATTAACAAGAGATTTATGTGCATTTAGGTAAAGATAGTTTTGACAATTGAGTATTTAATATTTCTTTTTTAAAAAAGACAAAAAGACAAAAGCATTAATAAGTCAAGAATATCTCGGAAGTTATAAACAATGGATTTGTAGGGACAAATAACAAAAGTACATATGAACACAAAAGCTTTCTTATGTAAATGCAGTTATCCACCTTAACCAATCTCTCAAAGTCTTAGATTTGTTGGTCGAATAAGAGTTTTAGTGATCATCTTTATTAGTGTATGAGAGAACTTAAATTCAGGATTCCTAATGGGATGATCACAATTTCATCTTTCAAGTTTGGTCTAAGTAACATAGTCTTGTATAATTTATTAGTAAGTTTTGCTATTTCAACTTCCATCTAAGAATAATTCCATCCCTATAGTTGGGTAATGAGTAATGACAGTATGATAGGAACCAAAATGTTACTAATTTTTTTTCAAGTCTAAAATTCACTTAAGCCAAATCTTAGGGACAAAATTTTGTTTTCCCTTTTTGTAGCTCACAAAGTAGCTTGAGCCGAGCCCGAACTCCAGACAAATATTTTTAAAAAGTAATATTACTCACCCCAAATATTTATCCTGAATTTTACATCCTAAATAATGTGTAAATACGTGAGTATTATTGTATCATTCAATGCTTCGTCACTTTATTTACAAGTTCAGTACCACATATAATGACACATTAAGATATAAAATTGGGATAAATTTTGAGAAAATTAATATTATTGATTTTTAAATGCATGAATTAAATTGTAACGTTATATTACCATCAACTTTATGCTACCATGCATGTTAACACGGAATTTCTTGACACACACTATAAACATGCATATTAAAATAATTAAAAAGTATTTTTTTTTTTTTTTAAAATCTTAGTAGTATATTTATTTATAAATAGATACATTTTTAGTTTATTTATATTATCTAAATTATATAATTTGTATAAAATTTAACTTATCTCATTGAATCTAGTATATTATTATTTAACATGATATGGTGTCTAAGTTAATCAACTAACTTAAAATCATAAGCTTATAATTAAGTATAAAATTGAAATTATACATTTTTTATAATAATGGTTGTATAAGATAATATTGTTCTCTCAAAACTTTCCTCAAATTTGATATAGCTTAAGTGCATAACTGTGAGAATAATGAATGAATTTATTAAAGTGATATGGTATCAATTTACAAGATACAAAGATGTAAAATAAATAACACGAAAATTTTACTTAAACTAATTTAAACCTTTGGAATCCTATATTAAGTCTTTTAAATGATATAAATATTTTATGTAATGAAACACATGGAGAGAGAGATTAATGTTTAAATATGTCATTATTTAAGTACAATTTTTTGGGTTTAACAAATTATCATAGGTTCCTTCACTAAATTTATTTTAATGATACATATTATAAGAACAACTTTAAGAGAAGTTGGTGTGTAACAATGAATTATGTTAAAGTGGGTTCAAATCATATTGTATTCGTGTTCAGATATAAGAACGCATAAATTAGTTAGTTAAAACATTACTATTTAAAAAAAAGAAAAAAAAAAGTGATGTTATAAGCTATTTTGATATTTCACCTAAACCCAAACGAATTATGTTAATTGAATTATGATCCATAGATATTTAAGTTATCAACTTTTATGAAACATAAAAGAGAGAGTATTAATATTTATTGAAAATATGTTAAGAATGGATCCCAATGAGAGAAAATTAATTCTCTCATCTGGAAATTTTGACAATCGGGGAGTGCAGTGTGATTTGTCGTGAAGTCCTCTCAGAAACTGCACAGACAAATGATAATAAATCTGAATTTGAAACTGCACTGTCGCTTCACTCTCTGCATTATCTTCTGCAATGAATCAATTCATATTTAATTTAATTAAAAAGATTTAAAGAAAAGAGTGAGTGGCCCCCTAATATTATAATAAATTAGTGTTATTCAGAGATCATTTATAAAGAGTAAGTCAAGCATGACCCATGTTGTTGCTTCTCTCTCAAATGCTATTTTCAAGGCAGAGGCACAGAAAGACTGCAGGTTTATTTTATTTTATTTATATAATCTCTACTAATCTTCCATCTTTTTTTCTTTTTTCTTTTTAATTATTATAATTAATTTGTTTAAGGGTTATCTTTTTTTCTCTCAACTGTCTTGTCTGACTGTTTTTTTCTCAAGTACCCTAAGCTCTCCCACTGGCCATAAACAAACTTTGCAGTGTTTTATGTCAGAGTAATAATCTCCCATTATATTTCTCTTTCTCCACTCTGGCTGTCAGTGGTATACTGGTATCTGCCCATTTTAAAAAAGAACCTACAGGAAACTCATGTAGAAAGCTTTTTCCAAACTTTCCCTTCACAGTTCACATTCATTATACCCAGTCATTAACCAAAACCAAAACCAAAACCAACAAAACTTACATAATATTTGATTCTCTCTCCCCCCATGGAATTGCATCTGAAGCAATGGAGAGACCACCAGCATGAGTCANTTCAGTACCACATATAATGACACATTAAGATATAAAATTGGGATAAATTTTGAGAAAATTAATATTATTGATTTTTAAATGCATGAATTAAATTATATCGTTATTTCACCGTCAACTTTATGCTACCATGCATGTTAACACGGAATTTCTTGACACACACTATAAACATGCATATTAAAATAATTAAAAAGTATTTTTTTTTTTTTTTAAAATCTTAGTAGTATATTTATTTATAAATAGATACATTTTTAGTTTATTTATATTATCTAAATTATATAATTTGTATAAAATTTAACTTGTCTCATTGAATCTAGTATATTATTATTTAACATGATATGGTGTCTAAGTTAATCAACTAACTTAAAATCATAAGCTTATAATTAAGTATAAAATTGAAATTATACATTTTTTATAATAATGGTTGTATAAGATAATATTGTTCTCTCAAAACTTTCCTCAAATTTGATATAGCTTAAGTGCATAACTATGAGAATAATGAATGAATTTATTAAAGTGATATGGTATCAATTTACAAGATACAAAGATGTAAAATAAATAACACGAAAATTTTACTTAAACTAATTTAAACCTTTGGAATCCTATATTAAGTCTTTTAAATGATATAAATATTTTATGTAATGAAACACATGGAGAGAGAGATTAATGTTTAAATATGTCATTATTTAAGTACAATTTTTTGGGTTTAACAAATTATCATAGGTTCCTTCACTAAATTTATTTTAATGATACATATTATAAGAACAACTTTAAGAGAAGTTGGTGTGTAACAATGAATTATGTTAAAGTGGGTTCAAATCATATTGTATTCGTGTTCAGATATAAGAACGCATAAATTAGTTAGTTAAAACATTACTATTTAAAAAAAAGAAAAAAAAAAGTGATGTTATAAGCTATTTTGATATTTCACCTAAACCCAAACGAATTATGTTAATTGAATTATGATCCATAGATATTTAAGTTATCAACTTTTATGAAACATAAAAGAGAGAGTATTAATATTTATTGAAAATATGTTAAGAATGGATCCCAATGAGAGAAAATTAATTCTCTCATCTGGAAATTTTGACAATCGGGGAGTGCAGTGTGATTTGTCGTGAAGTCCTCTCAGAAACTGCACAGACAAATGATAATAAATCTGAATTTGAAACTGCACTGTCGCTTCACTCTCTGCATTATCTTCTGCAATGAATCAATTCATATTTAATTTAATTAAAAAGATTTAAAGAAAAGAGTGAGTGGCCCCCTAATATTATAATAAATTAGTGTTATTCAGAGATCATTTATAAAGAGTAAGTCAAGCATGACCCATGTTGTTGCTTCTCTCTCAAATGCTATTTTCAAGGCAGAGGCACAGAAAGACTGCAGGTTTATTTTATTTTATTTATATAATCTCTACTAATCTTCCATCTTTTTTTCTTTTTTCTTTTTAATTATTATAATTAATTTGTTTAAGGGTTATCTTTTTTTCTCTCAACTGTCTTGTCTGACTGTTTTTTTCTCAAGTACCCTAAGCTCTCCCACTGGCCATAAACAAACTTTGCAGTGTTTTATGTCAGAGTAATAATCTCCCATTATATTTCTCTTTCTCCACTCTGGCTGTCAGTGGTATACTGGTATCTGCCCATTTTAAAAAAGAACCTACAGGAAACTCATGTAGAAAGCTTTTTCCAAACTTTCCCTTCACAGTTCACATTCATTATACCCAGTCATTAACCAAAACCAAAACCAAAACCAACAAAACTTACATAATATTTGATTCTCTCTCCCCCCATGGAATTGCATCTGAAGCAATGGAGAGACCACCAGCATGAGTCAGAACAACAACAACAACCTTCTGCAAAGATACCAAAACTCTTTCTTGAGTTACCCCATGAACCTCAACAACATCACTCATCTGCTCTTCCTTTGTTTGCACCCGAACCCACCAGTAAAGTCAGCAACTTGTCATCATTTCCAGATTCCACCACTAGATTTCCCAGTATGATTTTGATTTTTGATTTTGTTCCTTTACAAATAACCCTTCTTTGCTTTAAGTTGGTGTAAATGAGTTATTTTGTTTTGGATGTCAGAGATGGGAAGTTACTTTAGCTTGACTCAATGGCAGGAGCTTGAGTTGCAGGCTTTGATCTACAGATACATGTTAGCTGGTGCTGCTGTTCCTCCGGAACTTCTTCACCCAATCAAGAAAAGCCTTCTTCAAACTCCTTATTTTCTTCATCACCCTCTTCAACATCATTGTCCTCCTTATCACCCAGCTGCTTGTGAGTTCTGTTAGTAACATCTCATTTCATGTACTTGATGAATCAATATGACTTCATTTAACGATTAATCAGTTGCTGCAATTCTCATTTCGTGTTCTTGATGAATCAATATGACATCATTTAACTATTAATCAGTTGCTGCAATATTTTTAAGATTCACATGTTATTATGTGTGATCAGTGTTGCAATCAGGGTACTGGGGAAGGGGCGCGATGGATCCAGAGCCGGGGCGGTGCAGGAGGACAGACGGCAAGAAATGGAGGTGCTCAAGGGACGTGGTGGCTGGCCATAAGTATTGCGAGCGCCACATGCACCGCGGCCGCAACCGTTCAAGAAAGCCTGTGGAAATCCCCACGCCCACCACCACTACTACTTGTACGGTTGGTGTTGCTGGTGCAGTTGGGACTCTCAAAACCACCACAACAATTTCTGCTTCTCCACTCGGCCTGGTGGCTAATGGGCCTAATTTTGGTCTTTCAAGACCTTCACCTTCTGTTGATCTTCTTCATTTCAATCAAAGGTAAATCTTGATCCATGCTTTGCTTCCCAGATCTTAGTATGAATGTTATGCTAGGACTACATAAAATAGCTTAGTTAAAATCATATTTTTGTGGAAGGGAAAAATAATTTTTTTTTTTTCAAAACTAATTTGATATAAAATTTAAATAAATTTTTTTGTTTTGAAAATAAGAGATAACAAAAATTTTGTGAAACTAGTTTTAGTAGAAATAGATTAAAATTTTTTTAAAAATAGTTTTTCAATACAATCTTGTAAAATAAAAAATGCAGAAAAATGTTTATCGTTTTTCCAGTTTTATAGTTCTTAATCTAAAATCAATTTTTGAGTATTATATGAAACATATAAGCCTCAAAAATTGAAATGGTATAAAAATTATGTTCAAATCATAAATCAATCTGAAAATTTTATATGTAACTTTAATGTTACAAAAGAATGTATCTTTGGTTGGTTTTTAAAGAATCTTTTCATGGAGAGCAGAAATTATAGACTGACAGATTCTTGGTAGGACCCAAGAGAAAGAGAACATATTTCATATCCGGAACTGGAAGAGCCTTAGATTTTGTACAAACCGACCCCAACCACTTCTTTTATTAAAATATGATCATTTCTTTTCCTTATTTTTTCTCTCTTGTCCCTTTGTAGTGATTCGACATTCAAACCTGATAACAAGGATCTCTTTCAACACCACAATGAGGTTAATAACAGTAGATCAGATGGCCACATTTTAAGGCATTTTTTTGATGATTGGCCGAGATCACTTGAAGAACCCAACAGTGCTTCAAGCAATGCCAGCACTTGCCTCTCCATTTCAATGCCTGAAAATTCATCATCAGATGTCTCCTTGAAACTGTCAACCGGCAATGGAGAAGAAACAGATCACCAACACCAACGTGGTGGAAGAGTGGAATCCCAACTGAATTGGGCCACAGGATGGACCACAAATCAGGTGGCTTCAATGGGAGGCCCACTGGCAGAGGCTCTGCGATCCGCCACATCTAATTCTTCACCAACAAGCGTTCTTCATCAGTTGCCCAGGAGCTCTACCTCTGAGGCTAGTTTCGTTAGCACCTGAATTTAATTGTTTTTTTAACTAAAATAATCTGGTTTGAATTTTCTTTTTGATGATCTCTCTAGCATAAATAGTGTGCACGGGTGTTATTTAATTTCTTAGTTAAAAATTCGCCTTTTATTCTAGTAGATGAAGACACAGATTTAGATATAGAAATTATAAATACAGTACAATCTCTGCTGTATGTCCAAGAAACACTTAGCACATACATAATTTAGCTAGCAAGAAACATTTACACAACTCCCAACTTGGATGTATGCTTTGCTTTACCTTGGGCTCATCTTTTACTTTTACGTTGCCAGACTGCCACTGTAATTTGGCGTAGACTCTTTCACTACATTTTTTGATTCTCTTACATCATCACGTGTTAGATATCAACTGGCAGATTCCAATTCATTCTCTACTTGAGCAGGTTCCAATTCATTATCTACTAGTGCATATACAACAACTGTTCTACTCGGTGCATATACCAAGAAGGAACGAGGCCGGTCATCATACCACCCTTCCTGCACAAGCACCATTGATCATAAAAAGTAAAAAGAAACAGATGATTTAAAAATAGAATAATACTACATTATATGGTAAAAGATGATTGGGTGAAAGTTTAATTTTAATTTAAAATCAACCAAATCATATTTTGCCATAGAAATGTTGTATGTACTATGTAGTATCCTCCCCAAGTGAAATTTCTTACTGAGCTGAAGTACTCGGCATTATGGTCAAGCCTGTTAAAGCCTCCAAATAACTGATCATCTGAATCCAAGACAACCTGGAAAGAAGAAAACAAATATAATTTAAATTACAACATTACATAGAATAATGACAATAAATTTAACCATTCTAAGAATATATACAGTATGAAGTTTTAGTTTAAAGATTACTTTTGTTTGATATAGAGTACTTAATAAAATACAAAATGTGGGGCTATTATAAAAGCATAAATTCAAGAAGCCTAGAATTTGCGCATGGTAGTTCATGAAATTTAACTTGATTAAAATACTATTGAACCGATTATTGAATACATTTCATTGATTTACTCATCCACATTTATTAGATTCTACTACGACCACTAGAAGATGGTCAGATCTATCGTAATAGCACATAACTGGTTGGATCTAGCTCGTCGTACGTCGTATGACCTTTTCTAGTCAGATTTGGTGGATCTGATCGAAAAACCAGATTTGATCAAATGTGATCAAAGATCTTGTCGTCAATGGCTAGATCTTTAGTCGTAGATCTTGCTTTTTCCTATGGATTTGGTCAGAAAAGACTAGATCGAGACAGTATTGGTCAAATCCAGTCGATAGTATACAATTATGCTAGATTCCAATCACCTTTTGACGATGATGGCAGAATCTGACAAATGTGAATGAATGAGGGGTTTTATTATTTCTAAAAAATTTGTTGAGTGTTTAATTAAATTAATAAATTTAAAGAGTTTAAAAATAGTCAAATTAAATTTTTAGAATAAAAATAAATATGTATTTTTTATATAACAGGCATGAATAATAAACAAATAACCACCTTCCCAATTAAACTTAAGAAATATACATAATAAATAAATAAATAAAGTTTTAATGAAACAAGAGATGAAGAGATGATGAGGAATGAGCCATTGGCCTCGAGCAGAGTGAAAAAGTCACGTGAAGTCACGGGAAGGCACGTGATGGTAAACGCGTGCCGGCGTGCCATATTTTATCCTACAGAAGATGTTAAAAAACGGTTGGGACCCCGTGGCAGCTGTCTCTTCTGACCTTTTGTCAGTGACGTATTAACATATGATTACTTTCTTTTTTCCTTCCTTAAATTTAAATAATATTTATATTTATTTTTAAAATATTTCATTTGAGTGAAGACGAATTATGACGTGAACAACTTCCCCACTTAAGATCCGTACGAGAGCAGATGATCCAGGATGTTTTTTTTGGTTCCTATTTTGGAGTGTCTGTTACTGTTACTCTCGCATGACCCCTATGTATTTACAATTTTGCCCTTATTTTTTTTTCTTTCTTTCTTTCTATTAATTTACCCTGACATTTCGTATTAATAGTGACAGGCCCTTATGAATAAATAAATAAAATCATTTGATTTATAGATATATGAATGATGAAATCATTTAATTTCGTAAGTTACGAATGAAATTGACAATGTTTTTTGGGTAACCTAATTATAATGAATTAAAGGCTCCTTAATTTAAAAGCCATTGAAAATTGAAATATATCTCACCGGGACTAAACTAATAGATCACTCAATCCTTTCATATTTTTCCTGAAATAGCGGCATATGTTCCAAATATTCATAACCACCACTTGCAATTCTGAATACTCATCGTGTTTTTTCCATAACTCTTAATTTATAACTAGTAATTGATCATGTAGTAATGTTCATCATCCCTACATGAAAAATTTAGCATTTATCTCCTCAAATTGTGAAGCATACATAAGCGCAGAGCCTCATAATTTATTTTGAGAGGATAAATTATAATCTTAATGAATGACTGGATTAGAATTAAAATAGAGTTAAAGATATTAATTCCTTCGAGTTTCAGAAATTTGATATTAGTAATGTTCTAGCTATTAAAACATGCACTATTATAAGTTTATAATTTTTTACGGAATTGTTCTCCTTTCATTTATCATAAACTCAAAATGTTTAGAATTTTCATAAATGTATCATTTTCACCCCTTGAGATTTTTGAAATAACGGTAATCCCCATCGTTTAGTCTTATGTATAAAATAATAAAATTCCTCGCGACATTAGTAAACCGTTGGAGCTATTAAACAATACACTATTAAGTGTTATAAACTTTTACTGAATTGTTCTCTTGTCGTTTATTTTAATACGTAAGACTTAATTGTAAGAGGATTTATGCTATTTTAAAATTCTTAAGAGATGAAACTGTACATTTATGTATAAATTCTAAAGGTTTTTGTTCCACACAGCTCCCCCAAGTATACATACCAAATATGTACCTTAAAAAGATAGAATGTGATATTTAAAAATTAAAAAGGATGTTGTGTGTTGACGTTAGAATATTAAAAAGTGTAAGATTTGGTTAATTTATGTTGTTACCATTATTAATTGGATAATACTACACTAACAGTCTTCTCTCATAATTTTTTCTCACAATCTTGACGTGTAGCTCGAATTAGTTAATTTAAAACAGATCTCACATGATTTTACATAAATCTCACTAATTAATTATAATTATCATATTAAAATTGTGAAAGAAATGGGTTGTTGGTGTAATATTTACCTTTGAGTATATATAGGAAGAGAGCCGTGTAGATTTGGGTATGACAAATTTAGGATGCAAATAATATACAATAACTAGTATTGATGGAATAGAAATGGGGTTGTAAGGTGGTACTTGTTCACGTTAGTTCCATCAATATCTTCAGAATGCACCCCATCTGTCTCCACTGCCAGTTGTTTCTCACATTCTTTTTTTCTTTTACTCTGTGCTTCCTCCCATTGCCACGCACCATGGCGATATTTTCTTTTATCTTCGTTGGTTTTAAATTTTACGTATTTTTAATTTTTTTGAAAGGGATATAATAACAGAGATATCTTAATTATTACATGGAACAGCCTCAAGTTTAATGGTAAAGTGGTGTTATATATAAAAAAAAAAAAACTATGACAGCAATCGCTAGCTTTCTTATGTCATGTGTTTAATACATATAACATATATTTATTTTATTAAAAAGGGACTTGTAAGGCAATGAGAGCTAGCATATATACCATATAAGGAAATTATTTTATTATCACATCATTTATTATATTAATTTATCATTATTGAGTTGATTTTTTTACAAACTCATTATTTATTCTTTGTTGTATGATGAATATGTACAAAGAATTGGAGTAACTATTATTGATTCATGTTTTAAATAATTATGAATAATACTAAATGAACAAACTCTGTTTATAAACTCATATTTTCAGTAAATTTATTATAAAATTTTAATAATTAATTTAATTAATATTTAGATTTATTGATTAGCTTCATATTTTATAAATAAATACCACTAATTTTAATATATACTACATATAATGATTAATAAATAGGAAATATTTGTAAAATTAATAAATACTTTAGAAATAAAGGTTTGAATTGTAATTAGCTCTCATTTCCAAATTGGCAAAATTATTCGGGAATAATAAAATTATAGCGAATGATATAAATATTTAATTATTTATATAAACAAAATAGTTTGAGTATTGAAAAATAGTTTGAGTATTATTTAGATGTTCATAGGCACCAAAAAGCACACACTTAATACTAAAAATCCCACATTATCAGTAAAATAAAATATTAAAAGCAATTTAATTTAATTTCAAATATTAAAAAGATTTAATTAGCTTTGTAAGTGAAATTAATCTTACTTTCAGTGCTATTTAGTATGTAGTATGATTGGGCATACTTGTAATTAACAAGAATTTATGTGCATTTAGGTAAAGATAGTTTTGACAATTGATTTTAATTTCTTTTTTAAAAAAGACAAAAAGACAAAGCATTAATAAGTCAAGATATCTCGGAAGTTATAAACAATGAATTTGTAGGGACAATAACAAATAACAAAAGTACACATGAACACAAAGCTTTCTATGTGTAATGCAGTTACCCACCTAACCAATCTCTCAAAGTGTCAGTGATTGTCTAAGCTTATAAGCAGTTAAATTACTATAAACTCTAAAATTAAGCTAATTTATTTGTTTATAACTTTTTTAAACTTATAAACCAAAAAAAAAAAAAGTTGGAGGGAGGTATTTTTTTTTTTTTTTTTTTTTTATGTGCTTATAAGCACTCTGCTTATAAGCTAGTTTAACCAATATATTACCACATTATCCTTGTTTAATTTAAAATTTCATAGTATACCTTGTTTAATATAGTTCCCTTTTTAGTCAGTTTATAATAAAATGTACTTATAACCACATTTTACCAACAACGTCAACTATTTATCAATCACTTATAAGTATTTTAACCAAACACGTAATTACTAAAATTTCAAATGCTTATAAGCTAATTTTCATAAGCTCAGACAAACAACGCATTAGATTTGTTGGTCGAAAAGAGTTTTAATGACCATCTTTATTAGTATATAAGAGAACTTGAATTCAGGATTCCTAGTGGGATGATTACAATTTCATCTCTCAAGTTGGTCTAGTAACGCAGTCTTGTATAATTTCTTAGTAAGTTTTGCTATTCAACTTCATCTAAGAAATATTCCATCCTATAGTTGGGTAATGAGTAATGACGGTATATAGGAACCAAAATGTTACACCAAAATGTTACTAATTTTTTTTTTTTTTAAGTCTATAATTCACTTAAGCCAAACCTTAGGTACAAATTTTGTTTCCCCTATTTGTAGCTCACAAGTAGCTTGAGCCGAGCCCGAACTCTAGACAAATATTTTAAAAAATAATGGATGCTTTTGGTTTATTATTTTGGATATGATTTTGGGAATACTATTGGATAGTTGAATAGGGGAGTATTACGAGTAAAATTTAATTTTTTAAAAAAATCCCCTAGGTTTTCTAATTTAACTAAACATCCAATATATAATTTTTTATAAAATGACAAAAACATCCCCACCACCTACAGTGCCAGATTCGGCCACCACCGCCAGAATCTGGTCGAAAAATTACATTACGACATAAACCGTCAGATCTGTGTTGTAACGTGTCGATATGGCCTTTTTCGTCCAAGTCCACCACGGATCTGGCCAAAAAGGCTAATCGAAGCCAGATGTGGCCGTCGACGGCC